ATGCGAACCTCAAATCTAGGATCTATTAACTAAGTTGTTGAAGTTGGGGCTGGTTATTGAACTTCACCAACCCTTGGTATTCTCATCCACAAGATGGGAACAGCACTCTCAATACTGATGGCAATATTAGGCAAGTTACAAGTAAAGTTCCTATAGCAGCGCTAAGCATGACGCCCAAGATGAACTAGCAACAGTCCTTAGTTAGGGGCCACCACGGAGGAGAGGGAAGCCACCCTAGGTCTCACCGACAAATGCATCGCTTTGCTGAGGCTGTTGCAAACAAGTACTAGTGAGTGGCTTACATAAAAGAAAGAAACTCAGACCTGGAGACTAGATTTCCAAAATTACGTGTGTTGCAGGGTTGTCCTGAAAGCTGTCGGGGAGAACCTACCTGCTCTAGGCCTCCAGCTCATACACGCCTCTCTCCCAGTTTCTCCCCTTTAGAGCCCCAGCCATGCCAGATTAGGCTCCATCTTAACTTCACTCACTCTCTCCAAAGACCCTATCCCAAGTAAGATCACATCCAGAAGTCCCGGAGGTTGAGAATCCAATATATGTTTTGGAGAAGAGTCAAAATTCAACTGTCACAGTAGAAATGGCCGGCAAATACAGTTTCATAGAAACATTTTGATGGAGCCTTTCAAAATATGGGTCTTCTCTGTCCAATAATAATGGGTTATAGAACAGACACACAAGGCAGTAGGGAAGCAGATAACCAGAAACGGGCAACTAAAAAGTCAGATGGCCATTCCCATGGCCACCAAACCCAGTAAGAATGTTTTGAGACTATGCTCCAGGAAGATAAAGGAAATATCAGCACCAAATATGATTTTAAGAAAATTGTCGAAGTCTGATGCCGGATAGTTTATCACATTGTGTGAAGATGTACCACTATTTTAAGACACCTGATTGGTTTAATAAAGAGCTAAATGGTTGATAGCTAGGCAGAGGAAAAAAGGCTGGACTTCTGGGGAGAGAGAGGAACTGGAGAAGAATCTAGGAGCACCGGCGCCAACAGCAGGAAGGGGAGGTAAAAAGCCACATGGCAAGGCATAGATTAAGAGAAACTGGTTGATTTAAGTTGTAAAGGCTAGTTGGGAACAAGCCTAAGATAAAGGCCAAGCTTTCATAATTAATAATAAGCCGGGCGGTGGTGGCGCACACCTTTAATCCCAGCACTAGGGAGGCAGAGGCAGGCAGATCTCTGTGAGTTCGAGACCAGCCTGGTCTACAGAGCTAGTGCCAGGACAGGCTCCAAAGCCACAGAGAAACCCTGTCTCAAAAAACAAAAAAACAAAAATAAAATTAATAATAAGTCTCCATGTCATTATTTGGAGGCTGGTGGCTCAAAAAGTCTGACAAAGTCCAACTGCTAAAGTCCTTGCATCAGGAGAAAGCGGTCTGCTGGGTAACAGGACATGGACATAGGATGTTCCAGGAAGCTGCATCCCAAAGCAGATTACAAAGGCTTGGTTTTATGCCTTTGAGTGTTCCTGAGTGTTTCCTCCGTCCCCCAGGATGTCTGCTAGCAGAGAAATTCCTACATGATTCTTCCTGAAGCAGAGGAAGTGCCCTGGAACCCCTGTGAGGGACCTGGTGCTCTGAATTCCCTTTTCTTATGCAGTTGGGAAAGGCTGTTAATACATCTTGTGTAAGGCCCTTCCCAAACCAGGAGTTCCAGAACCAAGGGAGCCTGAAGGGCTAAGGTTTCTTGTTAGGGATTAAATAGGTACAACTTCTTTGAGTTAAAGGGGACAACTCCAGTGTCCTCAAGGGAGTCTTGGTACCAAACAGCCTTAGACAAACACAGGTCAGAATGCTTTCCTAAAACTGCTGTGTATGACGGAAGTCAGCTTCTCCTTGGCAGCTGCCAGCTCACAAAACACCACCATCAGCCTGGAGGTTCTCATCAGGTGAGGAATAAAGGCCCTACTAGCAGCAACGGCCCAACCAGCTGCAACACTTGATCCACATCCTTGAGAGTCAGTCATCCCCGCCCCCCACTCCAACTTCCCTCCATAGAACACTGGAGTGGAGGAAGGAGGCACAAGAGACCCAGCTGGCTAGAAAGCACACAAGAAGCTGAACCGCTCTGTCGATATAAACAAAGTCCCCTTACGGAGAACACAGTCAACGGACACACCTAGAGAAGAGAAGGCTGGAGGCGGAAGACCACAGAAATCCAGCGACTGACATTTCTGTTGCAGCTCGCGGTGATAAAACACTGACCAAAACCAACTTCGAGCAAGAAAAGATGTTTCACTTACGGTTCCTGATTACAATCCGTCCAGTGGCGTCCGGTCGAGCAGGAGCTTGAGGCGGGAACTGAAGCGGGCTGCTGAAGGAGGCTGCTTACTGCCTCCATGCCGGTAGCTTTCTTTCTCAGCTTGCTTTCTCAAACAACCCAGGACCACCTGGGCCTAAGGATGGCTCCACCTACAGCGTGCTGGGTCCTCCTACCCCATCCACTAATCAAGAAAACGCTCCTCAACTATGGCCACAGGCCAACCTAATGGAGGCAATTTCTCACCTGAGGCTCCCTCTTCCCAGGAGACTCTAGTTTATGTGAGCTGACAAGAGCTAGCCAGCACCATGCCCAAAGTCACTCAGTGAGCTGGGCCTGGATCTTCAGAAGCCAGGCCCGTAAGGGCAAGAGACAGTCCTCGCTTAGGGTGAAGGGGCTTGGGCTCTGTTCCATTTTAAAGGTCACTGTTATAATACAGAGACAACAGCAAACAAAACAATTTTTTTTAAAAAAGTCTCATTTGCAGTACAGCCAATCCGTCATTCTCTCAGGCTAGAAACACAAACACTGAATCTCCACTGGCATCTAGAGCCAGGAAATTGGGCGCTTACCTGACCCAGTAGTCAAGGTGGAGGCAGCAGCGAAGGCAAGAGTTTTCTAGAAACTGTCACTGGGTCCTAAAGTAAAAATAAAACACACATTTTTCTAGCCCTCGGGTATCCTGACAAAACATCCTGCCTGAGGGCTGACTTGAGGGAATGGCCTCCCAAGAGTCCTCAGAATGTTTATGGTAGGGTGTTGCCCTGGTAATGGAGGTTTCTTGTAGACACCATTCCAAACTAAGAATCTACTTCTAGACTTGTCCCGACTGGAGAAACAACCCAACACAATTGTCCTGGCTTGTTTTATGTCAACTTAACAGAAACTAGAGTCGGCGGAAAGGAGGGAACCACAATGGAGAAAATATCTCCATAAGATCCAGCTGCAGTGATGGGGGAGGGTCCAGCCCGTGGTTGGTGGTGCCATCCCTGGGCTAGTAGTGTTCCTGGGTTCTGTAAGAAAGCTGAGCAAGGCATGGGAGCAAGCAAGCCAGTCAGCAGCACGCCTTCATGGCCTCCACATCAGCTCCTGCCTCCATGTTCCTGTTCTGTTTGAGCTCCTGTCCTGACTTCCTTCAATAATTACAGTGGCGTGGAAGCATACCTAAGCTAAATAAACCCCTTCCCTCCCCAAATTGCTTCTGGTCACGGTGTTTCGTCGCTAGGACGACGTAACAAAATTCAGATTTACAGGACAGTTCTCAAGATCCCACTCATCTCGGAAGCTCTGCAGACACAGAGGGAACAGCTACCAGGAACAGAAAGCAAGCACTCGTTTGGCTTAGAAGTCAAGGGCCTCCACGTGTGTCAACAACCATGCCCTAGACTTCAGCAAGAAAAACAATCCATGACCAAGAAGCCAAAGTTCTTACAGGATGGGTCCTGACTTATTGTCTTCTTAAAATCCAGAAAAGTCAGGCACAACTCATCCTCAAAATGTAAGATTCCTTTCAGCTTCATCATATACACCATGCTGCTAATTCATGGGTTAAAACCTTGACAGAAGCTGGGCCCGTGGTATTCATCCATAGTCCCAGATAACCTGGAGAGGAGGCAGGAGGAACCCTGGAGTCTAGGAGACAAAAGTTTAGTCTGAGCAACACAACAAGAACTTCAAAGAAAAAAGAAGAAATTCAACAACTACATACAGATCAAGATATATGCCCTGAAAAACTCATTGCACAAGTACAGGAGGCAAGGACAAAGGACGCCAAGGTCACGATTTCAGCGGCTACCAAAGCTCCTGCTGCAAGTGCCTGTGTCTATGTGGAGGGGCAGAATGTAAGCTAAGAATGACTGCATTTTATTTTTAAAATATTTACAAGAAAATCATTCACAAATTTGGCTACTGGAGTAAAGCAATAGAAAATGAAATTTCCTAGTTTTCTACGAGGTCGAAAGTTTGTTCTAGTACTTTGATTATAAACCGCCTAAGGGGGCTAACACCCACCTGAAAAACCATCAGTAGCACCTGGTCTGCAAGTTTCACATGGTTTGATCTCATGTCTCCCCTCTCGCCTCCCCTCCCCGCCGTATGGTTTTTAAAAAGAAAAAGAAAGAAAAAAACGAAAACTGGCTATCCATTCAATATGAAAACTTACTACATTACCAAATCTTTCCAAATTGAACACATGAAATGCCAGTGGTGAGCAGGCTGGCCCACTGCACAGAGTGCTCTAACAACCCGTCTGCTATTTAAAACGACATGCACTCTCAGGAGCAGTTTATATAAAAACATACTAATATATACATAATCATTTTAAGCTTAGGGAAAAGTTCAGACTTAGCTTAGTAAATATCAAATACTAAATATTTGGCTACCATCTAAACTAATAGGCTATAGAAGCTAAACATATGGTTGATGTATGTTCACCTTTAGGCCTGAACACTGAAAACAAACACCAATAAGAACACTAAAGGCATTTAATAAAGCCTAGACAGACTATCAATGAGTGTAAAAGATACAATGTATCAGGTAACGAGTCTGAATGTGAAAACCACGTATCTATTAAATATGCCTGACTAATTTAAAAACAGGAAGCCAATTTTTGTTAAAGTGCTGTTCCTTCAAGCTCTGGGCTAAGACTATTACCCCAAAGTGACTTAAAAGAGAAACAAATCACAGGGCAAACACTGACAATACATATGACAGGCACTACCAAAAAATGCAAATTGTTCTTTAATTAAATAATGCCATTCTCAAGTGATATAGAACAGTCATCTTGACAGGATTACTCTTTATATAAATATTCATAAATTAAAAATGTCTCTAGATATGCCGAAGAGCCGCAGAGCATACCTGACAACAGCAGCTAATGCCTCTTTTTTAAAAAAGCACTAAATTCCTCTTGCACTGAAAGCCATTTATTTCTCTGGTGTACGTGAACAAGGTCACTGAGGACACTTGCCTCTCTTAGAACAATGTAAAGAACAACAATCATATACATTTTAAATCGGGGAGATCATAAACATTAGGACACAATCATCTTTTGATGCAGTAAGAAAATAAATAAATAAAAATTGAACACTGTAACCTGATGTTTGGTATTGACAAATCAAGTGTCAACTTCACATACGAAGGACAACGGAGTCTGGTTATTTTTTTAAATGTTCAAATATGTCCCGGTATTTGGGCTAAAGACCTTTAGACTATTATATGTTTCCTTTTTAGCTTAAAGGACTGTGACCCAATCAGCATCAAGCTGCTATGGTAAATAATTTGAAGCGGGGGTGAAGTGACCTTCTGGTCCATGGCACAAGTTACAACTTTCACATTTCTGTCACACCGAACTGGTGAGATCTCATGTTTATATACTACGATACACGCTGAACAAGCTGTCAGTCCCTCACAGTTTTTTAGAAAAATATCTACATTTGTCCTTACGGATGTCAAAATGTTAAACCATCATTTATTTATTTATTTTTTTTTTACAAAAAAAAAAAAGAAAGATGCACATTCATACTGTGAAGTTATTAGGAAAATACTCTTACAAGTAAACTATAGAAAGATAAAATACACTTCAAAAGTATGTGGGTTGTTTGTTTACAATATTCTATAAAGTGCAGAGAAATCCTAAGGAGAGGGGACGCGACCCCAGAACGAGTTTAATTACAGCAACTTTTGCATAGCGACACTCAGAGGAGGCTGGACGTGTCCATTTCCTCAGGAGAGGGGTGGAAGAGGTTCTTCAGAATCAGATTGTGTCTTGGCCAGAAGTCTGTTTTCTTCAGGAATGGTTGCTGATGCCAAATCTCCGTTAAGTGTGGTTCCTGAACAGTGAAGAGGTCCTAGGGAAAAAGGGAGTGGGAAGTTAAACATCTAAGCAATGCTGACTCTGGGCCTCCGTAAAACGTCTCAGGTCTGTAGGAGAAATAATTCTACTACTCTTTGTTCATCTGATAGAGAAACTCACCAAACACCCCACAAGAAGAGTATTGTCACGTAAAAACTTTCGGCTGGACCAGACTGGGAGATCAGAGGCAGACAACACTCAGGAGGCCCTGGGTTCAAGCCCCATCACAGAATAAATCAGGCATGGTGTGAGTGCCTGTGATCCCAGCAGTCAGGAGGTAGAGGCAGGAAGATCAGGAATTCAGTCAGCCTCCAATGCATAGAGTTCAAGACCAACCTGGGCTACACATTACTATCTCAAAAAAAAAAAAATTGTCAACTGATGATTGCAATATACTTAATACTAATATACTAATATGGTAAAATGTAAATTCTCTGCTTTGAACTAAACCATTAAACAGAAAGAAATTTAAGAATGATAATTCTCATCCTGCCAATGCAGAGGCTTTATGGTAAACTGAGGCATACATATACCTGTGTAAATGGATGTGAGACATGTTTGAAACACTCTGAACAACTAAGTTTGTGAATGAATGTCTTTGCCTTCTAAATATTTGAAAACAAGTCAAGTATAGTAGTGCCTGCCTGTAATCCCAACACTGGGGAGGTAGAGCAGGAGAATCACCAAAAGTTCAAGGTTAGGGTCCAGAGTTATACAGAAAATAAAAATTGGTTAAGGAAATGGCTTGGTGGTGAAGGCTTGCTTCATAAGCAAGAAGAATCAGCTGGCTACTGAAACGAGCCGTATTTGTTAGCTCTGGGTTGGATTAGAGGCCCTGCCTCAAAAACAAAGCAGAAGCCCAGCATGGTAGCACCTGCCTTTAATCCCAGCAGGGAGGCAGAGGCAGGGCGCTCTCTGAGTTGGAAGCCAACCTGGTCTACAGAGTGAGTTCAGGACAGTCAGGGCTACACAGAGAAACCCTGTCTTAAAACATGTCCCCTTTCCCCCCCAAAGAGAAGAAGCAAAGAGTAACAGAAGATTACCAGCTCAACCGTGACCCCCCCACATCAATCCACATACACTTCACACACAAATACATTAAAAGATGAAAAGGTAAATATTTAAAAAATGTATCTGCAAGCGGCCAACGGTTTTGTTTGGAGCCAGCAGCACTGGCATCCACACGACATCTTCCTCCAACAGAGCCTGCTTAGGATGCTAGGCAAGTAAAGAAAGGCTACGGTTTTCAATCTACTCAGAACCACAAAGGCAGCTCTGCTGGCTCCTCCCACGCGATGGCGTGGCTCTCTGGAGGACCTAACCACCACTTATTGTGTCAGGTCCACAGGGAACAGGATCCACACTCCACACAACTGACATCCAGTGAACTCTCATGGGAGGTAAGGACTCTCAACAGGTGACAGTCCAGTCCCTGAGAAGTAAGTGTAGCACGACATTTGTGCTCCCTGGAAACCATGGTCCTTGCGATCAAATGTGGCGTATCCTGACACACTGGGAAAGCTCTGGCTCCTTTGAGGTAAACACAATCTTAACAGAAACCCTAGACTCTCCTAAAAAAACAGTCTGCTGCCTCTGACGCTAGGGAGAAAAGGTACAGGAATTAGGGTTGTCATAACCATACAGGTTGCTTTCTTTAGCCATTTTGAGGCAGATAAACAATGTAACATAGCCGTATTTTCTGAATTTCAACTTTATTTACTCTAGAAGTCTATCTGCAATTAATGATTTTTCTACAATACTTTAAAATGGAAACACATAGTAATAATAAAGACATAGTCAATAAAAATGTCTCTAAGATAAAGTATCTACCAAAGATCTTCAGGTCCTCTGAACTGAATAAACAGAATAACAAAGCTGTTGGGGAGAGAATCCGTGAGCACCTGTGAACTGTGGGGGGCTCACGTCCCTCTGAGGAATTCACCTAAAAGCAATGTACAGTGCCCCAGTGGCTGTGTATTTCAGTCCCAGAAACTACGAGAACCTGGGGCAGTTTTGCTGAAGTGGCTGAGGAGACAGAAGATGTGGAACTCACTCTCTGGGTCTTCAGGGGGGGCATCATTACAAGAGTCTGTGTCCGAGTAGGTTCTGCGGCGGCGCTGAGGAAGTCTGTGAAGGGCAGAGGCTGCGTCTCTGATGGAGCAGCTATTCCTGCATATGAAATAAAAAGTGTTAAGCTATGGGCATCAAATAACAGACAGACCCTTTCTTGACTGGGACTTTAAATGGCTTCTCTTCAAGGCCAAGCATGGTGTGCACGCCTATAATCCCAACACTCTGGAGGCAGAGGCAGGGGGATCTCTGTGAGCTTGGAGACCAGTATGGTCTACAAAAGTGAGTTCCAGGATAGCCCAGGCTACAAAAAGAAACCCTGTCTCAAAAAACCAAGTGAGAAACTCCTCTGAGGCTTAATCCCTTATGTGAGCAACATGCCACTCATTTAGAAGGGATGTGTGCGGACAAGTGGGTCTGCCTGGAATGCAGGCAGGAACTCAGAGGCCCTGTCCTAACAGAGATGTCCTTCTAGGAAGAGGGTCCAGTGAGGCAGCAGACAGAGGTGGGCTGCATATATCAGAGAATTTTCACAGGTTTCACAAATGCATATATAATGTCAACCTTTAACTGATGGAAAGAGCAGACTGACGGAGATGCCAGAAAGTTTAGAGATATAAACTCACTGATGGAAAAATCAGAAGACTAAAATGGTGAACTGGAAGCTAGGGGGGGGAAAAAAACAAAATGAAACATTTTTCAGGGCTAAGTATGTAGCTGAGTTGGTAAGGTGTATATGTAGCATGCACAAAGCCCTGAGTTTGAACCGCAGCACTGCATAAACCAGGCCTGGTAGAGGAGGTAAAGAAAGGCAGGAGGATTAGGATTAGGCATGCTGGACTATACCCGGTTTGAGACCAGCCTGTGCTACATACAGCCCTGTTACCAAAACAAAACAAAACAAAACAAGTTTTTAAAACTCAGAGATGGAGACATGGCTCTGCAGTTAAGCACAATGGCTCCAAAAAGGATCCAGTCTAGACCTGCAAGCACAGACGCAAATCACCACCACCTAAGGGCACTTCAGCTTCTGCTTCAGATGGCTCAACACCACTGCACAACCTTGACACAGCAAAGGGAGATATTACCTAGCCATTCTATAACTTATTGTCCAAGGGGGGGGTGAGGATAAAATAGAAACCGTTCTATCATCAAAACACGTTCACTGTCAGATGACTTAGCCTCTACTGTTCTGTAAAGTCCAGCTGTGAAGATGTTTTACACCCTGCGGCCAGGTATATAAAAATTACTGGCTGCTTCCTCTGCCCAAATCACTCAACAAGGATTATGTAATTGCCGGAGAAAAAGACAAAACAATAGCAAGGCTCAATACTTAATAGTCAGCCTAGAGAAACATGCTGAAGAGAACTAATTTCATCATTTTCCAGAGAACAGAGGAGGGCGAGCCCAGCCACTGAGAACGCACACCTCGTGACATGCAGAGCGCCCAATAATAGCCTGGACACTGGCAGGACCCAACTGGAAGGTGAACTTTATACAGTATTGATGGGAATATGGCTTCCTTCCTTTCAGTGAGCTCTTTCTCAGTAACAGCCTAGCATGAATATATGACACTATAAAAAGCTAAGATAAGGGCTGGAGAGATGGCTCAGTGGTTAAGAGCATTGCCTGCTCTTCCAAAGATCCTGAGTTCAATTCCCAGCAACCACATGGTGGCTCACAACCATCTGCAATGAGGTCTGGTGCCCTCTTCTGGCCTGCAGGCATACACACAGACAGAATATTGTATACATAATAAATAAATATTTTATAAAAAGATTTAAAAAAAAAGAAAAAAAGAAAAAGAAAAAAAAAGCTGAGCTAAGAGATGGCTCAGTGGTGAAGAACACTGGCTGTTCTTCCAAAGGTCCTGAGTTCAATTCCAAGCAACCACATGGTGGCCACACCCATTCATAATGAAATCTGCTCCCCACTTCCGGCATGCATGCATACATGCAGGCAGAATACTGTATACATAATAAATAAATACATTTTTAAAAACTGAGATAAAATGTCCTCAGTTGTGGACACTTGAATACAAATTTCTCTCTAGCCACTTGATATATTTCATTACTTTTTTTAAAACAAAATCTATTGCTTGGTGGCAAGTACATTTGTCTGCTCAGCCTTCTTCTCGAAGAAGTATGACCCATACTTCTTGATATATTTCAAAAACCTGAGAAGCCACGACCGCCGGCATGGCAGCACCTTCGGGTTAATTCTCACATGTGAGTTTCCTTTCCTCGGCCCTTTCTGAAGCCGGTCCCGGAGACAAGAGCTAAGCAATACACACAAAGCTGCTGTGAGAAACAAAGCCAAACCAGGCTACTCCACAGAGCTGACATCCACAACGGCTGGCCTGGGCCTGAAGACCTTCCCCATGGGGGCGTTATGCAGACAGAAGTTAGTCAGAAGAAATGGTTAATCTACCTCTCTGAACTGCAGGAACCAGGGTGGCTGGCGGAACGCTTCATCTAGAAATATAAGAGAGAAGAAAAGACAGCTTAATGTTTAGTCAAAGAGAATAACGCACCTCCAATTTATTATCATAACTAACATAAGTGGACTCAGAGAAGCAGACGCTCGGAAAAGACACTTGTCTTCTCCAGACGATCTGAACATGTCAAACTTCCTGCCTAGTAACTATGAACTGAAAATTTCTCAAGACGTAACAAAAAATACTAAGCTTCTAATTACTTACGTGTGTTACATAATGGTAAAGTATAAATAATAGTATGTATAGAACTAACCTACATCATTTTTAGTAATAAAAGGAGCATCTAGCAAATCAGAAAACAGTCTGAACCAATGTCTTTTTCTCCACTTTGTAGAGGGCATAAGCAGAACCTGGCAGCAAAGCTTCTCCCAGGCAGCTTCCACATGGATGTGTGTCAGGACAGTTTTCACAGAAAGCAACATTAGTGTGTCTAGTCTTTAAAAAAACTCAGAAAACCTGAAACCTCAAATAGGCTTCTAAAGCATTTAAACAACGGAAGGGCTACGGATGGAGGCTCAGTGATGTTCACCCACCATGCACAGGCAGGTCCAAGTCTCGAAACTCTAAAATAGAATGACGTCATGTTTAAAGGGGGGGAAACATCCGCTTGAGCAGGACGATAATAAATATGGTCAACACAAAACATAATTTAGAAGATCCAATTTGCCCGCCAGAAAGTAGAGGGCAATACAAGTCCAACGGTTATTTCAGCTTAACGAGGTGACAGAGAAGCTGTCTATGCTAAAGACATTCTTTATACACACGGGCCCACACCTAACCTGCTGTATGAATGCCTTCTCAATGGGCAACTTTGGCTGCCAGCTGCTAAGTCCCAGTTCAAGTGACAACATGTTTCTCGTCCAAGCTCCAAGGATGGCATAAGATGCAGCTGGACACTGACACACCCTTTCACGGTCCCTCCCCTTAGAACTGGTCACCCTCCCAGGACTGGGGAGACGGCTCAGCAGCCTCTGTGAATGCAGCTTCACAGACAGGACCCGAGTTTGCTTCTGTGAGTACACCCACCTGTCACCCAGCTCCCAGGGGATCTGACACCCTACTTCTGGCCCCTCCAGTAGAGACATTCTAGCAAAGGCTCTCTGCTAGATGGAGACAGAAAAACCTCATCCAAAATCAACAGAAACTTCCCCAGTTCATCTGACCAAAATACTTCATGGACACTAGGAGTCCATCGTTCATTGATGAAGACGAGACTTAAATAAATGTAGGAAATGCTCCGCAACCAAAAATGCTGGGGTGGGTGGGAGAACGCAGGAGTGAGCTGGGCCCTCTTCTCACATGTGATCAGCCAGTACCGGTGGAAACACAGCCAGGAGCAAGCCTCCTCCCACACACAGGCTCCTAAGCATTCTCCAAGGAACCTGACCTCACCTCAGGCTCTTCACAGTGTGCCAGAGCAGACTTGGGAGCAGGAAAAGCACAGGGAGCTCACCACCCCCAGCCAAGAGTTCTCAACGTGCAGACTGATCAAGACGCAGACATGAAGCACCTACCACTAAGAGGCTCGGCTCCTTCACAGCGACCTTCTGACACAGAAGACATTTCACAGAGGAAGGGCCAGAGCAGTTAAGGCACTTGCCTACTCAGAGAATCAAATACAAATGCTGACTGTAGAACAGCTCCCACTGGAGGTGTCAAGCGCTGTTTGATAGTACCCTCCGAGAGTCAAACATCACGACAAGGCTTTCATCAAGCAGACACGAGCGCCTCGCTTCCTCTGGGACAACACACACCGCACTGTACACAATGCTTCCCGGACACACAAGAGAGGCAGGGCAGGCCATCCTCAGGCCCTTCAGAGTGGAGAGACCAAGGTATGACCACACATACCTTGAGGTCAGTTCCTCAGCTGAGAGGACCCATCCCCAGCACAGACAAAAGCAGTGCAACCTAAGAACCACACCCCGCCCCCACTAACACTTTCCATTCCCACCCTTACAAAGAAAAGAAAAAAGAGTCAGGTAACAATGGAAGAGAGGCTGAGACTGCTTTGTTGGTAAAAGTGCCTGCCACTAAAGATTGGAGTTCAGATCATAGGCCCTCAAATAAAAGCCATGCATGGTACCACACACAGGGAAGAACATGCATGATGATGAACACCTGCACCACACACGGGGAAGGCCGACTGCAGGCGTGGTGATGGACATCCACAACTACAGGGAAGGCAGACCGAGGCCCAGAGCTCAGCAGTCTAGACTACGGATGAGCTTCAGGTTCAGTGAGAGACCCTGTCCCAAAAACGAAGCTAGGAAGAGAGCAACAGGACATACCTGACAATGAACTCCAATCTACGTGTGCACTACCCCCCCCCCAACAACACAAAGTAATTAATTTATATTTAACGTATATGTGTATTTATATTCCTAGAAGAAAAACAAGAAGTTCCCACCATCTGAACAGGAGACGGCGACACAGGAGAAACCAAGGGGTCGGGATGAGGCAGCTGAAACATCTCGGGTTTAAACTTGGCATTGGCTATCTTCACACAGTCCTCGAGGGTGGTGATGAACGTGCTACAGGTGGCACTGAGCAAGGAGGAGGCTTCGTTCATGTTCTGGAAAACGACAAATAAAGACTGGGGAGACTCATACTCAACCATGAAATCAGGCACATCCTGAGAATCAAGCGAGAAAATGAATGAAAGCTAAGACTCATCACTAAAAGAGAAAACAAACAAACCCGAAGTTATCTACTGTACTGGCGCAACTGGCCCAGAGAACGCAGGCCAGAATGCTCCTTCCCGAACCTCATCTCCAAGCTCCTGAGGAGCTGCAGAGACAGGCCTTGACTCCCTGGAGACAAGAGCTGCTTGGAAGCTTGCCTCTAGCACACAGAATTCGGAAAGCCCCGCAGAGCTTACGGCAGGAAGCTCTGCCCGGCTGGGAGTAAACTCTGTGATGAGGATTCTGTCATCCTATGGAGTGGCTCGGGATGCCCCAGGGCAGTACACGGCGCAGTCTGATCCCAAGCAAACGGGTCCTTTCTGCAGTACCTCTACGCTGGGAGATGAGCGACTCTCGTCACGGTGAACAAATTCCTGGATGGTATGAACCTGCTGCATTAGGAGGTCACAGTAGAGGCGAAGTTCAGACATTTTGGTTTTCAGAGACTCACTGGTCTCACTTATCTCTAAAAGGAACATGTATAAATCTCCAATGAGGTCATTTTCACATTCTTTGGTAATATAACACAACAAACGTTTTAAAAGCAGGCAACGGAAGCTAAGGAAATGGCTCAGTCAACAATACGTTTCCTACATAAATGTGAGGACCTAAGCTGGATCTCTAGCGCCCACGTAAAACAGTTGCACCCAGTGGCGGTCTGTAATCCTCGCACTGGGAAGGATCCTTGGGGCTTGCTGCTCAGCTAGTGTACCCCTATCATTAAAAGCTCTGGGTTCAGCTGAAGTCTCTGTTAGAAAAATAAGATGGAGAACAACTAAGAGGGATTTCCAGCATAAGCCTCTGGCCTCCACATGTACATGTACCCACATACAGAATGCAGGCACGCACACACACACATGCATGCACACACAAATGCATGCACACACAAGCGCATGCGAACATGCTCATACACGGAGGTAACAAACACAGATAGTTATAGCTGGAGACGTGAACTCTTCGAAACAGAATCCCAAGACCCCAAGAAACACCTCCTCCTTTCCTTCACATAATTCAGGAGAGACAACTGTTAGGCTCACATCTGCCACGACGTTTACGTAGGCTGGTTTCCATAGACAACTCATGACTGTGTGCTTTTAAGATGGTTATTTAATGACTTAATTTTGTCTTGTTTAGGGATGGGGAGGGGAGGGAGGGAGGGAGAGAGTGTGTGTGTATATGTGTGTGTCACACACGCATGCACATATCAAAAAACAAGTGAAGAGGGTAGAAGACCCTGAGACTAAGGGATTGCGCTGAGATCATCCGGCCTGTGCACGCACCTCTGCCCACAGACACACCTCGCTAGCCTGACCACCGGGTGCTTTAATGCCCAGCATGCCTACCTCATTCCCCATTCTCTCCCATGTGAAACCTGCGTTTCTACTTTTGTGAACGAGCCTTTGCCTTCTCCTTATTCGTTTTTTCCAGTTCTGATACTCCTTTTACTTTTAATACATAAATTGACACTATGTTAAAGACAGAATCTCATCTACCCACATAGCACAAACGCTTCTCCACCGATCACCCCCATCCCGTTTGCTTTGCTGTGTACTTCAGCATACAGACGTTGCTGGCTTCTAGGTAAGAACAGCCACTCCACAAAATCATCTGTTAATTCTCTTCCTTTTGGCTCCCTTCTCGTATTTCACTGTCCTCAGAATTCTTGAGGCAGTGCTCACTTGCTTCTCCTCAGTGACTCTGGGCAAACTCTGCATCCAGCTAGCATCTCAGCTCTTCACCGGCCATTATCTTTTAAAGTAGAAATCAAAGTTGCCAGGGGAAAAAAAAAAAAAAAAGCAGCTACATAGTAGATGCTGGTCTTTCAGAAGTGGCTGAGCCAGGCCAGGGGAGCTGCCTCCCCACAAAAAAAAAAAAGAGAGAGGAGCAGCACTCCGTATACCTGACCTAAATCAATTCTTGCACAAATTTAAGAATGTTCCCTTGTTGTTGTTGTTGTTTGGGGGAAGGGGTATGCTGTGCGCGTGTGTGGCAGAAAGCATAGCTAGTGCTACACAGCTGTCAAGGCCAGAGGCTGCCGTCAGGTGCCTCTCCATGACTGCTCTTTAACGTCACGAGGCAGGGGCTCTCCCTCAACCCAGAGCATCCCGTTCAGCCAGTCTAACTAGCTAGCTTGCCACTGGGGTCTCCCGCATCCACAGGGCGGGCAGCCACACCCACTCAGCTTCTGTGTGGATTCTGGGAGTCCACACTCCAGTTCTCAAGCTCTTTGCTCGCTGAGCCATCTCTCCAGCCTCTGCACAAATTTATCCTCTTAAGGGTACAGTTCAGTGGCATTAAGAACATTCAAAGGCTGCGCAACCAGGACCATTGTCCGCCTAAATAAATTCTTATTGTTCCCATCAGAAACTCTGTCCCCACTGAACACTAACCTCGTTCTCCTCCATGTAGGCACTACACTATTTTACCTTCTTTTTTTTTCTACTTTACTTACTCATTTAGATAGTCTCACTATGTAAGCTCCCACGAGCCTCAAACTCAAACTCCTCCTCCTTCAGAATCCTGCCTGTGTCCATTCTCCTTCCTGTCCGTATAAATCTCGCTCTCCTTGGCATTTGAAATGAGTGCAATCAACGCTCCTCTTTTTGAGACAGGCTTATTTCACTAGGACTGTGTCTGTAATGTCATCATGTTGCAGTATGTGCCGGAATTCCCTTCCTCCTAAGGGTGAATAATATTCCACTGTATAGGAACCACATGTGTTTATTAATCAGGTATCTGGAGACATTTGGATTGATCCTATCTTTCAACTACTTCTTGTCCCTCATTGCCTTTAATTTTTAAAAGTTCTTTATATGCATAGACGTTTGCAGAGTACAAGCTCAAGCCAGCCTCCAGATCAGTGTCCCCCTCTTTTGAGATGGGGTCTCTCGCTGACCTAGAGCTCACAAATGAAGCAAGGCTGGCCGGCCAGTGAGGCCCAAGGATCGGCCTAGCTGCAGCTCATCAGGGCTGGGATTATAAACACGTGCCGCCACGACTGGCTTTTTACATGAGCGCTGGGCACTGAACGAGGTCCTCGTCGTCCTGCTTCTTCAATGACCAGTTGGCCACAGTTTCCCATACCACTGAACTTCCTTGGAAACACTTTACTTGACCTCATAATGTATCAGCTGACTGAAGCGCTGCCTTACCACCTGACTCTCCTGAGACCTTCCCGTGGTTTACCACGTGATTCTCCTAACTGAGACCTTCCCGTGATTACCACGTGATTCTCCTGAGACCGTCCCGTGGTTTACCACGTGATGGCGATCTAGGTAAATCTTCCACATGGCTAATTTCCTCCTGGTCCCCGAGAGAGGACAGCCTCACTAACGCTTAGAAAGTTGTCATCACCTTTTTCTTTTGCGGTCCTGGTGTCAGTCAAACAGGCTTTGGAGCTCCCCAGGGCGACCAGCCACCTCTGCCTCTCGGCCGCGTTGACCGCCTTCATGTAGAAATGCTGCTCCCCCGGGATAATCAACTCCATTCTCGTGTTGTCCGCCGAGTGGACTGTGAGGACACACAGCACAGTCTGGGTCACTCCCTAAGAAACAACCTTCTCCCTACCACCCAAGGTGGCAACGGTACCAAAACGATGCCAGCACACGACAGCAAAACACACGACTCACTTTTACCCGTACTAGAATTTCAACGCTGTCATCTGAAGAAGCGAAAAAATTAAAAATTAGGTTTCCAAAACATCACTTTCAGGAGATGTGGCGGCGGGGAGGGGGGCCCAACAACAAGATCGCAAAAACCCAAAGCCAACGCATTACTCAGAGAAATGAAATATCAAGTTCAACACAGGGAGGTGGACTACAGTAGAAATTTTTTTTTTTTTAAGTTTTTTCAAGACAGGGTTTCTCTGTAGCTTTGGTTCCTGTCCTAGAACTAGCTCTTGTAGACCAGGCTGGCCTCGAACTCCCAGAGATCCGCCTGCCTCTGCCTCCCGAGTGCTGGGATTAAAGGCGTGCGCCACCACCGCCCGGCTACAGTACAAATTATTTTCATTTGTTTGGCATTTATTTGCGTATTAATCTGTCTGCCTGTGACAAGGTCTTACTATGTAGCTGAAGCTGGCCTGGACCGCACTAAAGAAGTAGGCGACCCTCAAACTTTCTTCTGCGCTCTCCAGCACTGGGGTCCCAAGTATGCGCCACCACGCCCACACAGTTCTCTCCGAACTCATTTACCGTGACGTTTCCATACCTGTGTATATGTCTATCTGCTGGGATTGTGGCCGCAAAAAGACACCATTAACAGAACAAAAGCCAAGCGGGAGGACGTGATTTGCAAGCTCATTCTCACGATACAAAGAATGGTGCCAAATCAACATAAAAGACAGCCAAGCTCAGAAAACCAGACCAAGAGCTGAACGGGGACGTTTCAAGCAGAGGACGTGCGAGAAGCAAGCTCTCCACCACGGCACCACCTCCTCAGCCCTAAGAAATGTGTTCCCGCCACTTCATTAATATGCGTAGTGCGCTTTCCTTGGGCCCATTATGGCAGATCTACACTATTAGGGTAATGGAGGGAAAGAGCTTAGTCACCCTCTCCCCAGTACAACAAGGGAAAGTGGGAGTTTACAGCCAGGGTGGGTGGGGTGAAAAACTGAAGATGATTATGAAGAAACCTCTCGGGCAAATAGAAGTCTACTAAAGTGATCTCATAAGAGCTGCCTAGCAAGTGCAAGAAGGCCCTGAACCCAGTTCCTAAAAGAGCACGCTCTTTCCTCCTAACCACCTGTTAGAGCCAAATGGACACTCCCTGACTGAGCTCCTTCAAGGCGTTTCTACCCTGGCTCGTAAGCTACCTACACAGCGGCACTCTGGATGTTCCCGGGTGATGAGGACACAGCAAAAATGAGCTGCACAGACCCCGGCAAAGAGCGCGTGACAAGCTAATGCTGGTAAATGTTTCTATAAGTTATACAGCCATGACACTCTTCCATTAGAACAGTAACAACTCTTAATTAAAGGCTGAACAGAGAACACAGCAGGCATGTACACTCTGGAGAAATCAGTAGACATCACCGTCTACTCCAGGCTGACAATGTTGTATGATGAGAATCCCCGCATGGAAGAGGAAAGCAAGACTTAGTGCCAGGCCAGTCTAGACTACACACAGAGACCCTGTCCCAAAACAAGGACTAAGACGAGGAAGCAAAGGAGGAAAAGGAGATGAAGTGGTGGTGGTGGGGGGGGGGGGGCTGCATTACTAAGGAGTCTGAGGTTAAGATAAAGGGGCAGAACTATAGCTAAAGAATATGAACCCAAAGCAGAAAAGAAGAGGAAGAGAAGAAGAAAAGGAAGGAAGGAAGGAAGGAAGGAAGGAGGGAGGGAGGGAGGGAGGGAGGGAGGGAGGGAGGAAGGAAGGAAGGAGAAAAGTTTCTTCCCTCCTTGGCTAATCTTACTTAGAATTACCATAAAATCATCAAAGTAGACTCCAGTGAAAATGTAGTCACTGCATTAATCTCAAATAAGCAAATACACAAGACAACAGGACGCCTCTGGGTATTTGATGGCTTTGAGAAAAGCCCTCAGGCAGGACTGAAGCCCTCAAGCTGTGGGGGATGAGGGGTGGACTTGAAAAGGCTGGGGGGGGGCGGTGGGACTAAACGTTCATTCCTCTGGTGCTATTATTTCCCCTTTAGTTCTCCTTGAAGAATTTCAATCTCCTCATTATCATTTTATCTGATTTCAGTCTACCCACCTCCCCCCCCCACACACACACACACAAGAATGGATCACATCGTGGTCTGTGAACTTTCCAAGAAAATTACCCCAGGACACATTACTTCCCCTTTTGGAAGAAAAGGAAACCGTTTGTGTTCGCTCAAGCTCAACTGCAGTCAGCAAGAACCCAAGCTTCTAACTTCTACTCCATACTTTATCAAAACCCCCCACAGAGAGGCCTGCTTCAGCCACAGAGCTCGGCGGCAGCCTTTCCGACATCTTTCCAGGGAGGGTGAAATGAAAGCAAGCATCTAGGTGCTACAATAAATGATCTCTCAAGTCAAACAGGAAAAAAGCACTTGTGGCTTCGATGCAGGAAACATTTATAAAGGGGGGCATACCACACCTGTGTTCAACAGAGTTAAATGCTATCCTTGGATCCTGAAAGGGAGGACTTGAAAAGAAGACGATGGTGAGAAGACACTTACTCTCCTCACCTGGAGCAGGCTGTGGAGCCCTCGGCTTCCTTACCTTTAATCTCACACACGGCCATTTTTATGCTTCCTTTGCTCCCTTTGCAGACGTCATCCTGGGAGTCGTAGTAGGACAGGATCCCATTATCTAGAACAAACCATCGAGGCTGCCAACCTGGAGAGACCAGAAACCAAAGCAGGTTAATAAATGATTCTCACCACATAGAAAACTGATTTCCACCACGCCCCATTAATCCTGGACTCCCAGTAACGTCCACACAAGTGAAGTTTTTAATGGCCAACACTTGGCCAAGATGTCCTGAGATCTCTAGATAGATAAAGAAAGGGCTATTTTTGTTCTGACTCGAAACCTTCTCTTTAACCCAGAAGATGCAGCCTCAACCACAGCTGCACCCAGGCACAGAACAACTGCCCCTTTCCAGTATATGTATAGAAGTGTAGCGTTTCTTCTTCAGAATGCTTGGAACCACCAGCGTTTCGGATGCTGGATTTTGGATTTGCATACGCACAATGAGATACATGAGGAATGGGAGCCAATCTAAACATGAAATTCATGCCACGTCACCTAAAAGTAATTTTATATAATGGTTTTGTTTTTGACTTTGCCTTATCACACAAAGTCCGGTGTGGCGTTTCCCTCTTGTGAGTGTCCCTTCAGCCCCTTAAAGTGTGTGTGTGTGTGTGTGTGTGTGTGTGTGTGTGTAATAATTGGGTTTGGAAGCATTTCCGATTAAAAAGCTACTCATCCCGTAATGGAAAAAAACCCTACGGAAACCAGAGGTTTTGCCCCAGTTCTGTTACCATTCTTGGTGGTTAACCTAGAGTAAATATTTTCATCCCAAGGAGTCTGTAATTCTTTCTCCAAAATAAGTGGACTGACCGAGTGGACCAAGCCTCAGGTATCCAATGCAGCCTCCTTCCTTCCCTCATGGAAGATGTTGCCTTTAAGCAAATGCCCATGAAGATGGGGAAAGCTAGTGAAATCCCCATTTTTTTTTTAAGGCAGATGTGATACCGTATAGAAAGAGCTCCTCCCCTTCTCCCATGCTCCCTCCACAGCTCAGGCAGAAATGCTACTGACTTCAATCACTCATCTTGCTGACATTTCCTCGGCAGTTAGAGCACACACCTATCAGGCTTGGTTCGAAAAAACGCTGTAACCCACAGTAGTGGCTTTCCTCAAAACGGGACCTACATTGCTCTTGCAAGCCAAACTCGTGTTCCCTGGACCCTTATCAAGCACGGTACCCATCGACAACTTGGCGGTCACGCTGGAAGCAGCATGACTGTCCTCACTGTTGCCATCATTAAGTCCCCATACAGTGTGAGTGGTCGAAACGAAACGTGCCACCGTGAGAACACTCTGGCCAGAGGCTGCGGAACCGTTCATTAGTCCACGTTCTCCAGGAGCAGACAGTACCACTATCACAAGCACCTGTGAGTCCAGCTTGAGGAGCGCCCCCACACTCACTCATAGCCACATAAATAATATAAATAAATAAGACGAGAAGGGTGGGGTGGAAGGAATTTAAATACAGTACTCACACAGGGAAGTCTAGAAAAATGTAAAGGAATGTCAAAATAAAAAAAAAAGGTTGTGGGGGAGTCACTTGCCGAGCATGTACAAGGAAACACAATGAAAATAATCTGTAATGTATGTCTACAGTGACTAAAAGAATGAATTAGTACTAGTTCCCCGTGGAAAATTATAAAGAGGCGGTGAAAATATAGTCTTCCACCTCAGGTCCACCTGGGCCAGTAACACAAAGGCTTTTGAAAGCGCTAATGTTCACCACTGCATTATAATGAGGCAACAGCTCTTCAGAACAAACGGATCACAACGATTCCTTCAGAATCTGCAGGCTGGGAAAGTCATACAGCTGAGTGGCTTCATCTAATCACAAGCTGGCTAGTCATCCCCACACACCTTTTTGAAGAAATATTTAATCCAACTTCCTCTAACTGGTTCACATTTTATAGTACAGTAAAAAGACTGGTAGGTTATTTCCTGTTTCAGTTTCCACTGTAACAAGCAGTTTTCTCAAACTATCGCATGTTACAGAAACGTGTGCTATCCAAGAAAAGGAAGTCAGGATTAACACTGTCATTACGCTAAAGTCCTTCAAGACCAGCCAGTATCAGCAGCTGCTCTTCCTCAGAGCCAAGTTTACATCTTTAAAATGGAAGCCTCCCAAACGACAGACTTCAGCCGCTCTTCAATGCTTACTAGAAGTTAAACTATATTGCACCCTAAAAACTAAAACCCCATCTTGTGCTGGCACCCCCCACAGGGCCACATCTCACCCCAAGTGAAATTTCCCCTCCAGTTAGGACTCAGGGAAATAACTGCCCATTGCATCAGACCACGCAGAAAATGCTCCTCTGGCATGAGCTCCAAAAACAGAGTACTCAGAAATGTTTGCCTCCCCAAGCCCAGAGAGGCTGTGGGCCTCAGAGCTAACACGCCTCAACCGGCAATCTTTGCTGTTAGCAAAAAGAATCTCCTTAAAGTTTTACTGCTTCTAGTAAAAATGTGTCATTTACACATTTTTTTCCCCTTGAGGCAGAAAATGTCACTGTATTACAAATATTAAGCCACTTGCTATGGCAAATCTGGCTCAAGCCAGATACAACTAAGCATTTAGCCCTTACAGGGTTTACCTGCAGAGTCCCACAAGATAGGAGGACACGAGTTGCAAGCTTCACAGAAAGACTACCGGGCTCAATACAATACTTGGGGCAGAGTGAGTGGGCAGGAAGTACCGGGCTCAATACAATACTTGGGGCAGAGTGAGTGGGCAGGAAGTTAAAGACCGCTCGTTCTCTGGACTAAGAATCTGAGGACTGCCCAAATTTCCCTAAAGGCCGCCAGTCCTTCTCTAGTTTGGTGAGATCACCGGATTCAGAAGCTGGAAGGTACCTCTGGGGACAAAATAGCTAACCACCCAGATCTAGGCCAACCGGGATCCGGAAAGAATACCTTTAAACGTTGGTTATGGCAGAGATCACAGGATGTGGACTTAAGGCGTCTGTCAGAAGCCAGACTTCCAATATCACAGGCAGGGGCAGTTCCCAGCTGATGATGACATTTCTATACACTCAGCTTTTCTTCTAGCTGCCTGCTCTTTACGTGTGTTACATTCCCAACTACGCCTCACAATGACCAATATCCCCACCGTGTTGAAATGCGCTTTCTTCTTCTATGTCTCACAATTACCCGAAGCGCAAACCTCAGTGAAAACCAATCCCTAAGAAAATTCTCTGAGAACAGCTTCCCAAAGCACACTTGATGAACTCAGACAACCTCAACAAGTGGAATTTCAAACCAGTGGTAAGACAATGCAAAGGAACACAGAAAACATACCTTCAAATTAAATGATTTGACACACACAGAGACACATCAATTAACAAAATGCTGTCCACAGAGCGTGAAGGAAAAGAGACTGTAACGACACGCTTAGGGTGAGAGGGGACTGTTCACTGTTCCCGAGGCACAAGGGGCCACGCAGGTTGCCGAAGGTGCGTATCCCATCCTCGGGATGGTGAGCTGACTCGAACTCCCCGTCGAAGCGGTCCGGAATGGGCCCCACGAGGCGCAGTGAGCGGAGGGGTGGGGAGATCGGGAGTGGAACTGAGTGCCCTCGGCTTGGGACGAGTTGACCGAGGACCAGGTGGCCCGCAGCCCCGCGCCGCCCTCCCGGTACCTGTGAGATAGTTGGTCCACTTGTACAGAACCCCTTCCATGCTTCAGAGCCCGGCGCCACGCATCCTCCTGGCCCGGCGCCGGCCGCGCTGCTGCGGAGGCGCGGGCCCGCAGCCCTCCGCCCCGACCCGGCGACCCTCAGAGGCCCGGCCGGCGGGCGCCGCGTGCTTCTCGGAGACCGTGGGGCGTGGACATCCCCAGCGGGTACGGCGCGGCGACCCCCGGGGCCTTCCCGCTCCGCCGCCGCCGCCGCCGCTGCTCCACGAGCCCCGGCGCTGCCCTCCTGCGCGCCCGCCTTCCTTTCCCCCGGGCTCCCGGTTTGTTTTCATTGACCCCGACGTCGCTTTCACTTCCTGGATGAAAGGGGCCGGCTCGGCCCGCGAAACCCCTCCCCGGCGGCGGGGCTCCGGGACGGCCGCGTGCCCGAGGCTGCGCTGCGCGCCCTCGTGGGGTGGCTTAGCGGTCCCCGGTTCCCCGGCTCTACGGTTCCCCAGCATCCGAACTCCCCGGTCACCCTGCCCAGAGCTGCGGCCCAGGCCTCGCCTCCTTCTGGTCTTTTTCAATAAAATCAAGGGTTGTTCATTTCATTTTTGCTTCCAGGGCTCTTACCCGGGGAAAGTAGGAAGTTGTTATCACCTAGGAAAAGCCTGGCAGCACTGGCACCGGCCTGTAATCCCAGCACTCTGGAGAAGATGACAGGCCAGCCTGGGCTACAGCGGGGGGGGGGGGGGGG